GCGGCCATCTGAGTAATGAACCAGAGGATGGAAGACCCCTCTCTCTCTTTCTCTGCCTCTCCTTTATCTCTGTGTAACTCTGACTTTCAAATAAATATATTAATTTTTAAAAAGTTGCATCACAACAGCAGCTGTGGTCAAACAATTAAAAAACAAAAAACAGAATTTGAAGCTTGAGAGCCTGTTACGCTATCTGGGGAGTGAACAGTTGGAAGATCTCTCTGTCTCTGTTTCCCTCTTTCTGTAACTCTGCCTTTCAAATAAATCTTAAAAAAAAAAAAAAAAAAGAGAGAGATCTTCCATCTGCTGGTTCACTCCCCAGATGGCCACATCCGGAGCTGAGCTGATCCGAAGCCAGGAACCAGGAGCTTCTAGGTCTCTCATGCAGGTGCAGGGGCCCAAGCACTTGGGCCATCTTCTACTGCTTTCCCAGGCCATAGCAGAGAGCTGGATCAGAAGTGGAGCAGCCAGGACACAAACCGGTGCCCATATGGGATGCCAGTGTTGCAGGTGGCAGACTTACCTGTTATGCCACAACACCAGCCCAGAGCCTCAAATTTTTTACTGTAAAATTTAGAGGCAATAATGCTTAATTCAAATATTGATGACTAAATATGAGGGTAAAAGTTACCTTAACTAAGCCTAGGATATGAGTTCAGTAAATGTTAGCAAATAGTAGTCTTCATCATCATTGTTGTTGTTACCTCCTTATATATATGTTAGTTGAATTCTGTGTTAAAAACTAAGATTTTTATGGTTCAGAAAAATGGTTAGGAACTGCTTTCTAAAATGAGAAGATACACTTAAGTACTTATTTGAATATTAGGTAAAAAATTCTACCCACAATCATTATGCTAGATTACTTGCAAAAATGCCTACAATTCCACTCATCCTTATATGTCCCTTTGCAATGCTACTCTGCCATGTCTCCATCAAGATGTGGAGTTTGTGTTCACAGCCGTTGCACTGGAGTTAGCCTTGTGACTGGCTTCAATGACAGAATGTAGCAAAGTCACCTTGTGCAACTTTGGAGTTTAGGCTTCAAGAGGCCATACAGCTTCCACTCATACTCTCACATCACCACGTGCCATATAGAGATGGCTGGGCTATCCTGCTAGGGACACATGTCCCAGCCAATAGCCACAAACAACCCGTGGACCTGCAAGTGAAGCTGGCTAGGCCATGAGTCAAGCCATCAGATGATTGTATGCACATGGACAACCCCAGGGAAAGCCAGTAGAAGAACCAGTTAAAGGCCCAGAGTTGTGGCACTGCAGGTTCAGCCAATTCCTGCAACACCGGCATCCCATATGAGCCCAGGTTCAAGTCTCAGCTGTTCCACTTCCAATCCAGCTTCCTGCTAATGATCTGGGAAAAGCAGCAGAAGGTAGGCAGAGTACTTGGGCCTCTGCTACCCACATGGGAGACCCAAATAGAGTTCCCGGCTCCTGACTTTGGGCTGGTTCATATCCCTAGCTGTTAAGGCCATTTGGGAAGTGAACCAGTGGATGGAAGATATCTCTTTCTGTCTTTCCCTCTCTCTGGGTAATTTTGCCTTTCAAAGAAACAAATCTTAAAAAAAAAAAAGTTATTTGAGCAAAGATAAAAAAAAAAAACTGGCACTGAACTATGTAACAGTCAATGGCTTAACATTAAAATAGATTGCTATAAATTCATATAATGGAATACTACATAGTGGTGAACATAAACTATAGCTATAAAAATCACCAGGGAGGAATTTCAAACACTTAAATATTGAGGAGAAAAAGCAAATTAAGAATACAGGTAGGAGCCCATGCTGTGGCATAGTAGGTTTAGCCTCCACCTGTGGGGCTAGCATCCCATTGGGTACTGGTTCATGTCTCAGCTGCTCCTCTTCCAATCCAGCTCTCTGCTAATGGCCTGGGAAAGCAGCAAAAGATGGCTCCAGTGCTTGGCCCCTTGCACTCAACGTGGGAGACCCAAAAGAAGCTCCCAGCTCCATATTGGTCCAGCTCCAGTCATTGTGGCCATCTGGGGGCTGAACCAGTAAATGGAAGATTGATCTCTCCCCCCACCCCCGTCTCACCTTCTTGCTATCTGTAACTTTGCCTCTCAAATTTTTTTTTTAAAAAGAAAATATGGACAATATGATTACATCTATATAAAGTTAAAACCAGTTAAAACTATACAACACATTGTTTAGAGTCATATAAATATATTGCAAAACTAATATGAAAGGTAAAAAATGGGTGATGCAGAATTCAGGATAGTGGCTTCTTCTGGAGGGGAAGGAACAGAGATTGAGATTAGAGAGGGGCTTACAGAGTGCTTCCAGGAACTGGATACATCCTTTGTTTAATCAGACAGGTTTAGTTATTTTTTTTTTAATTAATTAATTTATTTTTGAAAGAGTCACACAGAGAGAGGAGAGAGAGAGAGAGAGGTCTTCCATTCGATGGTTCACTCCCGAGATGGCCTCAATGGCCAGAGCTGTGCTGATCCAAAGCCAGGAGCTTCTTCCGGGTCTCCCACGTGGCTGCAGGGTCCCAAGGACTTGGGCCATCTTCTACTGCTTTCCCAGGCCATAGGAGAGCTGGACAGGAAGTGGAGCAGCCAGGTCTTGAACTGGTGCCCATATGGGATGCCGGTACTTTAGGCCAGGGCGTTAACCCTCTGTGCCACCACCATAGTTTGTTTTTTAAAGGTTTATTTATTTACTATTTGAAAGGGGGACATAGAGAGAGAGATGTACCTTACATCTGCTGGTTCATTCCCCAGTTGTCCACAGGAGCCAGGGCTAAGTTAAGCAGAAGCCAGGAGCTAGGAACTCCACCTGGGTCTCCCCAGGTGGCTTGCAGAAACCTAAGTACTTTGGCCATCATCTGTGCCCTCTGAGGTACATTAGCAAGAAGCTGGTTCCAAAGTGCAGAGTAGCAGGGGCTCAAAGCAGGATGAAATAGGATGCGACCAGCACAAGCGGTAACATAACCTGCTATGCCACCATGCCCATCCTTTGTTTTTAAAGTTATTTGAAAGGCAGAGAAAAAGAGAGACAGACACATGAATGTTTCATTTACTGATTTAATCCTTAAATGCTTGCAACAGCAAAGGCCAAGCCAGGCCAAAGCCTGGTGCCCAGAACTTAAAGCACATCTCCCAGGTAGGTAGCAGAGACCCAAGAACAAGAGCCATCACCTGCTGCCTCCCACGGTGTGCATTAGTTGTAATCTGGAACAGAAGTGGAGCCAGGACTACAACTCAGGCACTCTGATATGGGATGTGAGCATCCCAAGCAGTAGCTTAACTGCTTTGCCAAATGTCTACCCTTGCACTCATTTTTTTTAAAAAAAGATTTATTTATTTGAAAGGCAGATGGGGGTGGGTATCTTCCACCCACTTGTTCACTCCCCAAATGGCTGCAACAATTGGAGCTGGGACAGGTCAGGCCAAAGCCAAGAGCCAGGAATTTCACTCACGTCTCCCACATTGGTGGTAGGGACCCAAACACTTGGGCCATCTTGCACTGATTCCTCAGGCACATTAGCAGGGAGCTAGACTGGAAGTCGAACAGCAGGGACTTGAAGGTGCCCTTATAGAATGCTGGCATTGCAGGTGGCGGCTTAACTCACTGAGCCATAACACCTGACCCAAAATAAATGTTAAAAAAATTAACTTGCACATTTAAGTTCTGTACATTTTGCTTATATATGTATGGATATAACATATAAAACTATGTAACTATATGTATAAGTATAATTAACCACATATAACTCTAGGATTCAAACAAGAGGGCTATGCAGGGCAGGCAGGAAAGAAAATTGATCATCTGCAAGAGGCCATTTCAGAACGCGGAACTAGCAGAAGCACAGAGGCAGGAGGGGAAGCAGAAGGCACAAGGGGAGCAGGTCGTGTTTGCTGTAACCTAGGATACCTGAAGGCGAGTCTTGCTGCGTAATCATTAAAGTTGTGGCAGGATGCTGAGATTCCGTAGACCTCACACTATAAATAATGGGGACTTTGTATCACTTAGGATGCTTCTGTTTTAGGCAACGAGGAACAATTATGGTTAACTCAAGTCAGAAGAGAAAAAAAACAGAGACAGGGGGATAGGGAGGGGAGAAAGAGAAAGCGGGGGAAACGGGGGAAGAGAAATAGACCGAAGTGTATTAGATAGGTTACGTCATCCGGCCAGTGCAGGAACTCTGCTCTGGGACCACAGTGGGATGCTCTAGCCAGGGAGCTCCTTGGAGCACTCGGTGGCAGCCACCTTCGCTCTCAGCCCTTCTCCAGCCAAGATCCCAGTTCCCAGGGGAGTCTCATTGACCGACTGATCCTGAGTTCTGTGTTTGCAACTCAGGAGAACCCTGGGAGCAGAGATGAGTGGGTAGTTGCCGAAAGGAAGGGAAGCCAAGTAGACTTAAAACAAAAATGCCAGGAAAACCACAGCACGGCTTCCTCAGCAAACTACAGGGTGCTACGCAGAAATCTAAAAATTCCGTATTCGAGTAAGTTATTTCTTCAGACGAGACATCTAAATTCGTGCTAATTTAGTGAAAATCCTAGATTCGTTGACCTCACCGTAGAGAGGTAACATTTTTCACTTGGGATGACTTGATGTTTGTCTCCTCACTGCCTGCTCCCCTAACTCCAGTCCGTATACTCACTGCTCCTGAATTCAGACCAATCAACCTTTGTAATAGACTGAAGTCAACTGGCAGAAAATGATGAAACCATGACACCGAGAGATAGAAGCGCTGCAAACTTACTAGCAGCCCCAAGCCGCCGTCTCCCTATTCAAGGAGTAATTCCCCAGCTTGCTGGTAGGAGCTCCCAGTGCAAGCGCCGTCCGCGGAGCTACATGGGAGTCGAAGTGCACCTTGGGAAGTGTAGTTCCACGAGGAAAGGGCCGAGTGGCAGGCGCCGCACACGCGCACAAGAGCCCAGGTCAACAAAGACGGCGGCGTGCGCGCGTGCGCGCGCGGCGGAGAAAGGCACGGAAGGGCGTGCGCGTGTGCGTGCGCGGCCGGCGCTCGGAGCTTCCTTGGCGCTGAGAGGACGGAGAGAAGGGGGGGTTGGAGCCACCGACCGAAGGAGGAGGAGGAGGAGGAGAAAGGGTTGTGCTCTTGGCCGAGCGAGGGGCGGGGCCGCGGGCGGCGCGTGCAGGTGCCGAGCTCCTGGGACCCGCCGGCGTGCGGGGGGTCTGTGGCCCTCGCCGTCGAAGCAGTCGCCGCCGTCGCTGGGTCGCCGTCGGTCTGCGGAAGGCGGGTTATGGCGGCGGCGGCGGCAGTGGGAGCTGTGAATGAATTCTCCGGGTGGACGAGGGAAGAAGAAAGGCTCCGGCGGCGCCAGCAGCCCGGCGCCTCCCAGGCCTCCGCCCCCCTGCCTGGCCCCCGCCCCTCCCGCCGCCGGGCCGGCCGCTCCGCCCGAGTCGCCGCATAAGCGGAACCTGTACTATTTCTCCTACCCGCTCTTCGTCGGCTTCGCGCTGCTGCGCTTGGTCGCCTTCCACCTGGGGCTCCTCTTCGTGTGGCTCTGCCAGCGCCTCTCCCGCGCCCTCATGGCCGCCAAGAGGAGCTCCCGGGCCGCGCCGGCGCCCGCCTCGGCCTCGCCCCCGGAGCCGGTGCCGGGCGGCGAGGCCGAGCGCGTCCGCGCCTTCCACAAACAGGCCTTCGAGTACATCTCCGTTGCCCTGCGCATCGACGAGGACGAGAAAGGTACCTGGGGGGCTGGGGGAGGGGGGGCGGCGGCGCGCCCGGGGAGGGCGACACCTGCGTCCCCCTCCTTGCGGGCGGCGGCGCGCCCCCGGAATCGACCCGCCCCGGGAGACTGCCTCCCTGCCGGTCAGACCCTCGTCCGCGGCTCTCGGCCAAACCTCTCCCGTTTCAGCGCGCCCTCGCTGTCGACTTTGTTTCAGACACCAGCCTGCCCCCACGCTCCTGCGCGATCCGAGTCCTTGAGAGGCGCCCGGACGTGCTGGTGACAGTGACAGTTGTCCTAGCGTGACCACAGGGATCCTTTCTGGCCCTGGACACAGTGTGTGGCTGCCTCCCAGCCAGGTTTCGATACCGAAGAAGCTGTGCCGGGTTACAGGCTTGCAATGAAAGCAGAGTACTGAAGTGTCAGTAAAAAGAACAAACGGTGACTTGATTCTGCGGGTAGCTGAGGATGAGGGCAGCTGAATGCGGATTATTTTTTAAAGCTTCAAGACTAATTTTATTGATAAAATGATTCCCGAATCTCTTTAAGGAAACTTGTATTTTAGCTAAAACTTCTGCTTCTGGTTGCTTTGATTTTTTAGTAGGCAAGTATTTAAGTATTGCAAGGTGGCCTCTTCAGTCTAAGTAGAAATGTTGAGTGAATTGAGAAAACTTGCAGGTATCCGTTTACAATGAAACCCAAAACAGAGATGTATGTTTCCAGCGGAAGGCAAGGCTGCTACATCCTGCAGGTTCTTTGAAACTAACTTTATTTCAATCTTCCTGGGTGCCAGGCACTGTGCTGTTTGCATGTATCGGCGTATTTACGCCTCCCGGTGACCCTGTGAACTGATGGTACAGATGCTATTGGCTCTTATACAGAGCAGAAAACTAAAGCTCTGAGGATTAAAGCAGGTCACTCCAAGCCTGTGCTCACCGTTAGTGAACTTTTTTTTTTAAGTGAAAAATAATGATAAATGAAGTTAGGAGTCTGATAACATTTCAATCTCTCCTTTTCATCCTCACGTCTAGTATGCTGCCATCTTGCTTTGCCTTCTCCCAAACAGCACTTGTTCACCTTGTGTCAATTAGGTACTGGGTTGCGTTGCCCATTAGTGAAAACAAAAACCATCTGCAGCTCATTTGTAGCGTCTCCCTGTTACCAACCTCCAGAACTCAGTCGTGGTGGTTACTGTTTATCTGTGGGCCTGGGTGAGCAGTAGGGCACAGGAAGGCAGGTGTTCATGGTTGGGGAGTCAGGACAGAGCAGAGGCTGAGAGACCACCAGAAGGGCGGCTGGTTAGGAAGAGGGCTGTGTGTTTGTGGAAGGAGGCTCTGCGTTCCTGACCGCCTCTTAGGGACGACTAGGGTCCCTCCGGGAGGGTGGAGAGAACCCCTCACCGCCCTCCTAGGGAAGCAGGGTTCCACTGCAGTAAGCTGGTACCGGAGGATCCTCAGGCTTTCTCATCTACTCAGAGACCTTGTATGATGCTGGGAATGCGTTTGCTGGTAGATTGTTTCACTAGTGTGTTTCACAAGAGATGAAAGAAAATGGGAGTCGAGAGATAGAATAAGACCAAAGAAAAAGGAAATCCCAGGTGCTTAACAAGACCCTAAGCTCTTAGGCTTGAAGGGCAAGCAGTTCTGTGTGCGGTGTAAATAACACAATTCAGACCTTGGGTTTAGGCTCATGACTGACTTTTCAGTGTCATATTCATATGTCTATGTGTGCATCCTCTTAAAATATTTTAATTTTAAATTTATATATAGTATACCCTCTTCCTACTTGATGTTTCTATTCACAGTTGTTGTTTTTTTTTACTTTAGTTATATTTTATCTGGTAAAGTGGATATCAGAATGATAACTCTTTTGTGTTCCACAGTTGGTCCCCTCATATGCCAAATTATATTAGCTCAAACTAAAACAAATTAGTTGTGTGTTCACTTTCCCCTAAAAACTGAGTTTATATTGTCATGGTTACCTTTTTTTTTTTTTTTTAAGATTTTATTTATCTGAGAGGTAGAGTTACAGATGGTGAGAGGGAGAGACAGAGAAAGGTCTTCCTTCCGTTGGTCGCAATAACCGGAGCTGCGGCATTCCGAAGCCAGGAGCCAGGAGCTTCTTTCTGGTCTCCCATGTGGGTGCAGGGGCCCAAGGACTTGAGCCATCTCTGCTTTCCCAGGCCACAGTAGAGAGCTAGATCGGAAGAGGAGCAGCCGGGACTAGAACCGGTGCCCATATGGGATGCCAACGCCGCGGAGGATTAACCAACCGCGATGGCCCCATCATGGTTATCTTCTAAAAGTTTTTCTTTAGCTTACTGAAAATTTTTGTGCTTCCGCCCTAATCCAGTGGTTGAAAGACAACTTGCAATTGAAGTCTTTTTGTGTCTCAGCCATCCTTGACAACACAAATCCTAAGTCCAGGAGAAATTTGTTCTCCCTCTTTCCCACTGCATTGAAGTTTATGTGGACAAATAGAAATGAGTAGAATAGGCAGTCTTCAAGGCTTCTAATTCTGTGGTAAATTTATTAAAGGGCTCATCATGTCATGTACTGCCATTCCCTTAGTAATTTAGCTTCTGTGTTAACAGCCACTCACTTTGTTTCGCCAGGTAATGTGGGTATTTCAGAATATAGTGGCCTTCATTAATGAAATATTTGGTACCTTGGAATGATAATAGTGTATAAATGTTGTTTATCTAATGACTCTTTTGAATTTTATTCTTATGGTATACTCAGCTTTGAAACTGAATTGCCATAAAGCCCTTATTTTGTCTGAAGCCAAACTATTTTAAGAGAGTATAGGGGCCAGTGCTGTAAAGCCACCGCCTGCAGTGCCAGTATCCTATATGGGCACTGGTTTGAGTCCCAGCTGCTCCATTTTTTGATGCAGCTCTCTGCTATGGCCTGGGAAAAGAGTAGAAGATGGCCCAAGCACTTGGGCCCCTGCACCTGCGTGGGAGACCCAGAAGCTGCCTCTGGCTCCTGACTTTGGATTGGTGCAGCTATCGCCATTGTGGCCATCTAGGGAGTGAACCAGTGGATGGAAGACCTCTCTGCCTCTTTGTAACTCTGCCTTTCAAATGAGTAAATAAAAAGAGAGGGATAGCACAGCAAGTTCTGTTTACTTAATAATAGGATATGTGAGTTCAGTTCATTAGAACAAACATTTATTAGATACCAGTTAATTTGCACAGCTTTGCATTATAAATATTTGAGAAAAACACATTTCCTCTCAAGTGAAATGTATTAAGACATTTATTATGTGATGAATATGTATTTAAGTAATGCATCTATTTTATGTACATTTACACATTTTTCTCAGTTGAATAATTTTCTAGATATCTTAATTTATTTTAAAATTTATTTTATTTGAAAGAGTTAACAGAGAGAGGTCTTTCATCCACTCATTCATTTCTCAAATGGCTGTAGTGGCCTGGGCTGCAAGGCTAGAACCAAGAGCCAAGAGCCTCGTCCAGGTCTCCCACGTGGGTATAAGGACCCAAGCACTTAGGCCATCTTCCCCTGCTTTCCCAGGCCATTAACAGGGGGCTGGATCAGCCCGAGTCACAGGCAGCAGCCTAACCCACTGCACCACAATACCAGCCCTGTAGATATCTTTTTTAATTTTGCACCTCCCTAGAAGAATGATAATCTAGCATATCCATTTTGTATGTTCAGAAACTGAAATTTAAAGAGCAGATGCTCAGCAAAACTGGGAACAGAGTTTAGGTGAACAGAGTAATAGTATTAGACTTTTTATTTTAAACTGCCAGGTTTTCAGATTTGGTAACTGGGTTCTTGAAATAACGTAGAGGAGGGCTGGCAGTGTAGTGCAACAAGTAAAGGTGCTGTCTGCAGTGCCATCATCCCATATGTGCATTGGTTTGAGTCCCGGCTGCTCCCCTTCATATCCAGCTCCCTGCTAATGCGCGTGGGAGAGCAGTGGGAAATGGCCCAAATACCTGGGCCCCTGCACCCATGTGGGACACCTGGGAGAAACTTCTGACTTTGGTCTGGCCCAACCCTGGCCATTGCAGCCATTTGGGGAGTGAACCAGTGGATGGAAGGTCTTTCTCCCTCTATCTGTAACTCTTTCAAATAAATATTTTTTTTTTTTTATTTTAAAGAAATACATGGGGGAGAAAAGGAGGTTGTGGTAGTATTTCTTTGGATTAACTAGAACGTGACCTAATATGTCTTGCATGGCTCCTGAAGGTAGACAAGCCTGAGGTCTCCTGGAAGAAATCAGAGGTGGAGGTGATCTAGGTGTGCTATTATTCCTCACATATGTAGGACTACAGAGTGAGGGCCCAGGGTGTGTGAGGGAGAGCCAGTTTCTCAGGATGTTGTTGGGCTGATGAACCTGGCATCAAGGAGAGAAATCATCTAAATAAATTGATTTTATTTTCTTTTTGATCATTTTAAGGTATAAAAACAGCAGGCTTTAAAAAACTAATTACCATATACTTTGTAATTCATTATAACTCAATCTTGTGCTTTATTTAAAATGCATTACCCAAAGATGCCTGTCCCCCTCTGTTTTCAGAAAATGAGAATGGAGAGTAGAAATCAAAAGTGTCAGATGTGATAACTTTTTTAATCCTGAAAACTTTTATACACCTACCACCTTGAGAGGATTAACTTCCTACTTAAACCTTGGATCCAATGGTTCTGCTTTAAAGTTTGCATGATTACAATAAGGAAATAATTTGATAAGTGGACATTAAAATGGTATCATACCTTTAAAAAAGTACTTTTAATAAACACAAAACATTTCCCTTTAAGAATAGTGGTCAGTGTTTGTCCTGGTAGTTAAATTCATGTGTCTCATAGGAGTGACCGTGTTGGGTTCTCAACCGCTGGTTCCTGATATCTAATGCAGACCCTGGGAGGCAGTGGTAGTCACTGAAGTGATTGTGTTCCTGTATCAGGGTGGGAGACCTGGATTGAGTTCTGGGTTCCTCCCAGGCCAAGAAGCCATTGTAGGTATTTAGGGAGTAAATCCGGGGATG